TTTATACTTCATCTTATAGTTTCACCATCATATATCTGTTCATTCAAGAACTTATGGGGGTAAAATATCAGCAATAAGCCTAACCTGTAACAGGGTCTAAAAGGAAAGTTGGAAACAAAGTGATTGCTATCTCTTTGTGACACCCTTAACTTCTAAGTCTTCCAGTGAATTTAAGGCCAAAAATTCCTATGTATCACCCTCCCCAAAATGAGTGATTCTTCACCCCGATGTTTTGTGGTGTCAACTGTATTATCTATCATTTAAAGTTAAAATTACTTAGTTTGTGATTTGTTCTTCCATATGACATTAGGCACATTTATTTTAAAACATGTTCCTGTTACATGACTATCTCATTGTCTTTTTTGAGAGAAAAATAGAGAGCAACAGATCTTCACAATAAACTTCACAAGAACAAATTGATTAATTTTATGTCTTGACTACTAAAGAGGAAAAAAATAACCTAGCTCTGGTTCTTGGTTAATGTTTTAAAATATTTGCAATTTATAATGTTTTAAAGCTAGATATACCAGCTTTGTTTCTACATTGCAACCAAGGTTAATGTTTTTGATCACTTAATTTTAAACCAGCAATTCATTTACTCTTGCCCAAAGCTACACACTATATTTCTGATATACTATTAAAATAGAATTAAATGGGAGAAGGAGGTGGAATTGACATTTAAACTACACCTTCTTTTAGTATTGATCAAAGATTACACATTATTTCTTACTTAAAGCAAGCTTATTCTTATTTTGAATTGTTTTTTTTTTTTTAAACCACAGCTTTAGCAGCAACAAAATGCCCAAATGCTGCCCTTTCTCTTGTGGATAATAGTCATAAATAAAAGCTGCATATAACTAGCAATAACTGAACTGAATGGTTCTGAATTGCTTTCTCCAAAACCTGTATAACTTTTTAAAATATTTTTTAGCTATAGGTGGACACAATATCTTCATTTTATTTTTATGTGGTGCTGAGGATCGAACCCAGTGCCCCACACTCTACCTCTGAGCCACAGCCACAGCCCCAAAACCTGTATAACTTTTAAATGGCTGAAACTGCTCTTATATGGACTAGACTATTTTTGATATGCTCATATTTTTATAATTTGAAAAATAAAATTTGCCTTGTGAAGTTTTCTCAAAAACAAAGAAAATGTGGTATATATATTCAGTGGAATATTAATCAGCTTTAAAGAAAAATGAAATTATGGAATTTGCCAGTAAATGGATGGAATTAGAGAATACCATGCCAAGTGAAGTAAGCCAATCCCAAAAAACCAAAGGCCAAATGTTTCCTCTGATACGTGGATGCTAATTCACAATAAGGGGTGTGGGGCACTAGAGAAGAATAGAGTTACCTTAGATTAGGTAGAGGGAAGTGAAGGGAGGGGCAGGGAGGGGATGTGGGGATAGGTAGGATAGTAGAACGAAACAGACATTATTACTTTATGTATATATGTGAGTGCATGATCAATGTACATGATAATGTACATGATCAATGTACAATGTACATCTACAATATGTACACTCAGAAAAATGAGAAATTATATCTTATCTATGTATATCAAAGTGCATAAATGCATTCTACTGTCATGTATAACCAATTAAAACAAATAATTTAAAAAAAAAAAATGAAGTCCTAAAATGTTGTTTAGAAGCTATGTGTGCATGGATTTTTTTTTTTTTGGTACTAGGGTTCGAATTCAGGGGTGCTGTACCACTGGAATAGATCCCCAACCCTTTTGCCTTTTTTTTTTTTTGAGACAGGATCTCATTGAGTTGCCCAGGCTGGCCTTGAACTTGCATTCCTCCTGCCTCAGCCTCCTGAGTTGCTAGAGTTACAATGTGCACCACCACACCTGGCTACATGGATAATTGTTGATTTGATAGGACCTTGCTTGGTTCTTACTTGGGTAAGAACTGGTCAATTTCCTAGAAAAGAAGCATCTTGTGATACTAAAAAGTCAAGTGTCAGAGAATGATGGGATATAGCAAAACAATCTGTGGGCTCTCAATGGTAAAATGTGGAATAATACCAGGCACAGTGGTGCATGCCTGTGATCCCAGTGGCTTGGAAGCCTGAGGCAGGAGTTGCAAGTTTGAGGCCACTTTCAACAATATAGTGAGGCCCTAATAAGCAACTCAGTGACACCCTGACTCTAAATAAAATATTTAAAAGGATTGGGGATGATGCTTAGTGGTTAAATTTCCCTTGGTTCAATCATCAGTACTAAAAAATAAATAAATAAAAAGGAATGTGGGGGCTGAGGATGTGGCTCAAGTGGTAACCGAGCGCGGGGCGCTGGGTTCGATCCTCAGCACCACATAAAAATTAAAAAATAAAGATGTTGTGTCCACCAAAAAATAAATATTAAAAAATTCTCTCTCTCTCTCTCTCTGTCTCTCTCTCTCTCTCTTTAAAAAAAAAAAGGAATGTGGAATCATATGTGCATCAAAATAAATAATGGTAGTAATGCATTATAGTGCATTAAATATAAGAAGCATGCATAATTCTGTACTGATGTTAGTTTAATTGTTAATGGTTATTAATTAATAACATTATTAGTTAAATTATTAGTATTAATAGTTGATAATTAGGTTATTCGATTAATTATGAAGTAGAGGGAAAGTTCTTCCTGAAAGTAGGATGCAAACTAATATACCTAGAAGGAATGATGGAGTTAGAAAGCCATCAATGGGTGGTAGAATTAGTAGGTAAAAATTTGATTAGGGAAAGGATAATACAATATCAAAGCAGAAATTACTTATTGATTACAATGGGTAAAGATTAGCTGTATTTTGGAGGAAGTTTGTGGTTACTACATAAACCAAGTGATCAAAGCTAACATGAACAGTATTGAGACAAACAGACATCATGGCCCTCCTGATACGAAAAACTGAGGACACAACATTGTTTTTGCTATTGATGTTCATTTAACTATTTGGAAACAGCAGAATACAAATTTAGGGATAATGCACAAAATGACTTGCCTTGGGGCTGGAATTGTGGCTCAGCGGTGGAGCGCTCGCCTCACATGGGCAGGACTGGGTTCGATCCTCAGCACCACATAAAAATAAAGGCATTGTGTTGTGTCCATCTACACCTAAAAAATAAATATTAAAAAAAATGACTTGCCTATATTCTTCAAATATTCTAAGATCAAAAAATACAGAAGAACTGTTCCAGATTAAAGAAACAAGACAACTAAATGCAATGAACGATCCTAAGTTGAAAGCAGGACCCAGGAAAATGATATAAAGAATACTATTAGGGCTGGGGATGTGGCTCAAGCGGTAGCGCGCTCATCTGGCATGCGTGCGGCCCGGGTTCGATCCTCAACACCACATACAAAAAACAAAGATGTTGTATCCGCCGATAACTAAAAAATAAATACTAAAATTCTCTCTCTCTCTCTCCTCTCTCTCTCTTTAAAAAAAAAATTTAAAAAAAAAGAATACTATTAGTACAATTGTTAAATTTTGAGACTAAATTGTAGTTTAGATAATAGTATTATTTCAATGTTAGGTTTCCTGATATTGAAAACCTTATTGTGGTTATATATAGAATGTCTTTGTTCTTAGGAAACACAGCCTGAAGTATTTAGGGGTAAATGGGCATGATGTCTACAAGTTACTTTCAAACAGTTCATGGGAGAGAGAGAAAATGATAAAGTAACTATTCCTCAGACAATCAACTATGAGGAATGTACTTGACCAAGCAATAATCTTGGTCAACCAATTTGTATATAGGGAGAGCTGGCCTGAGGTAAAAAATATATATACAGATTACTGGGCAGTAGTCAATGGTTAGCCATCTGTCAAGGACTTAGAAGGGAAAGGACTCAAAGATTAGAGAAAAGTAGTTCTACCCAGAGATATGGGAATGTGTACAAATAGGCACCATAGAAGGTGCACTCATTTAGGACTGGGGTTGTGGCTCAGTGGTAGAGCACTCACCTAGCACATGTGAGGCACTGGGTTCGAACCTTAGTGCCATGTAAAAGTAAATAAATAAAATAAAGATATTATGTCTGACTACAACTAAAAAAATTTTTAAAAAATAAGTGGCACTTACCTACCAAGTAGACAAAATAATTTTGCCAGTCAACATTAGCCAGCGGTTGTTAACACTCCAGAATTTTTAATAGGCACATAAATTGAATGGTCATAGTGGCAAAGACAAATTACATATGGGGCCAGCAGCAGATACTCCTACTTACATACTCCAGTCTAGTATTAATGCCTCTGAACCTAACTTGTTAGCAACAGAGACTCAAACTGAGCCCCCAATATGGCAGTATATCTGGAAAAGACCTGTTGGCCACTTGGTGGCAAAGTGACTATATTGGGTCTTCCTTTCCTAGAAAGTTACAGTTCATCCTCACAGGGACAGATATTTATCCAGGTATGAGTTTGCCTTTCCTACTTGTAGAGCCTCAGCCAGCACCACTATCTGTCAGCTTATGGAATTCCTGATCCATTGGAATGGATGGAAATCTGGAAGGGAATTGTGGACCCTGCTTCAAGATGAGAAGGTCCAGTATAGCCATCTTGCTATAATGTATAGCAAGTATAATGTCACTGCCCTAATATAGCAAGTGGCCAGTAGGTCTTTTCAAGGAATAACACTGTCCTGGAAGCACAGTTTTGATTTCTGTTCTTGATGCTGATGCCAAAATAGATGAGCAGAGTTCAAATATGTCTTCAGTAGTCAACACATAGAAGCACATATTGTCATTTTCTTCACTCAAATTTTAGAATTTGGATTCAGAGTACCAACTTTAATGTTACTATCATCAGATAACACTTTCTTCATGTCAGCACAGGGCTTAAAGTCCACACTCTCTTTCATACCAATGTCAAAGAGGGCAGTTTTTCCATGGAACTCATCCAGATACATGCCCAGTCTCATGTTTCTGTTCTGACCTCTCTGGGCAAATACCTTGCTGATGTTTATATATTGGCTCCCTTTCTTCCTCTTTGCTGCTGTTTCTTCAGTGTTAGTAACCATTTTCAATGGGTATAGGGAATAAATGGAAGGACCTATCAATTCTTTCCTCCCTCTGTGGCTTTTGCCTATTATTGGAGCTACTGTGAGATGGCTAGTATGGGCATAAGGTAAATAGAGTTTATTTTCCTGTTCTAAATCAAATAGAAAAAATCCTGGCAAAAATAGTCTTTAAACTTCAATGGACCTTGTAAAATCTTAAATACTTTGAGCTTGAATGGAGTAATCATTAAACACATGTTGACAGAAGTTAAAGGACTGAGGGCTGAAAAAGGAATATGGAGACAATCTTGCCTTACTTATAGAAATCAAGGCACAGAGTGGGAACAACCTTCCACCATGGTGACAAGAACTGGGATTAAAATGCAGTTGTCCTGATTTCTCAAACTAGTGCTCATTCAACTGCATCATAATGCCTCCCTGCTGACAATTTTTAAAAATGTAATTTGCTAAAACATTGTCATATTCTGAGAATCAAAGTAAGATGTAAGTGCATACTTACAAATGTAGCTACTAACAAAAAAAATGTTATAATAGCATTACAGAAAGCATGCAAAGCAGAGGGGAAAAAAGTATAATGTCACTGTCCTAATACAGCATCTTGGTAGTGGTTTGACAGTAGCATAATTTCAGCTCCTCACTATGTGCCTTATAAGCTCTCCTTTTCTTAAAGTAGTGTATTCTGCCTGTCTTCATTTCATATCTGCACTCTCACATATTTTGAACATCTCTATATTGTAACTTATTATATCTTATTTATTTATTTATTTATTTATTTATTTATTGTGTGTGTTGTTGGGGATTGAACCCAAGGCTTTGTGCATGTGAAAGAAGTACTCTACCAACTGAGCTATATCCCCAGCCCCATTATATTATTAATGGGTGATTTAAAATCCGTGTCTTCACATTGTTAAAAAAAAAAGAAGAAGAAGAACAACAAATGAAGACTAATAAGGAAGGAAAACATTGTTAAAATGGACCACAGGGCTGGAGTAGCTCAGTGGTAGAGCACTTACCTAGCATGTGTGAGGCACTGGGTTCGATTCTGAGCACCACATATAAATAAATACATAAAATAAAGGTATATCAACAACTAAAATATATTTTTAAAAAATGGACCACAGGTCAAATCCTAACCCTTTAAGCATTAATGTTGTTCTACTTTCTCCCAGTTGTAGCAGAGGCTATATCATTGCTATAAGGTTAATTTTCCCAAAAATATTGGGCATTGAATCCAGGGGTACTCTCCTACTGAGCCACACCCTCCAAGCCCTTTTTATTTGATTTGAAACAGGGTTTTGCTAAGTTGCCAAGGCTGGCCTCAAACTTTTGATTCTCCTGCCTCAGCCTCCTGAGTCACTGGGTTACAGGTGTGTACCACCATGTCTGGCTAGGGATAAATTTTGTTGTGATGTTTCAGGGATTCAATAGAGCAGTTAAAGACTTTTGAGATCTATGTGGTTGGGGTAGGACTAAAACTGTTTTACTGAAATGCATTCCTCTTTGACATATTAAGATAGTTCTCACTTCAAGCAAACAAATCAAAAATTAAACTTGTACAACACTACATTTGAGCAATTTGAGTTTCAAAGCACAAGAGTTTTACAAAGTTTATGAGAAATGCATGTTAAATAAAGCATACCTCTGTTAAGAAAAAAAATAACTTGTTTTAGACATGACTTGCATCTAGAAGGAAATGAATTTTAAACAAAAGCCTCTGCACCTTTGTCTCCATAGAGCTGGAAAGGACCTGGAGATTCCACCAGGTGAAGCCACCTGCCCTTCATAGCAATTGCTCCCCTCTTACTCCCCTCACCTTAGCTTCTAAAACTAATCCCTACTAAGATAGTTATTTAGTTGTATGGCTCCAGTCTATAATAAAAGAATTCCACACACTTGACATATGATGGGAAAGAACTTTTTGGGAAAGAAAGCCTGCCAGGTGCCCCTTAAACCACACCATTTTGATCCTTCCCACTTTCTTTGTTTTTATAAATCCATTTCTGAGCCTGATCTTCAGCTCCTGCTAAACATGGTCAGAATCTGGAAAGGTGTTGGAAATGTTTGACATGATTTATATGCTACCTGAAATTGTTTACAAGTCACTAAACTATTTCAAAATAGCTCTTTCAGTAAGACTTGTGCAAAGCTTCAAGGTTATCTCAAATTGCATTAGACCATGCTTAGGAAACCAGACAGCCAGCAATCAGCTTGAAGTTTTCTAGTTGCTCAACAATCAGCTTTGGTTTTGTTTATTGATTTGCATGTAGGGTAAATGGCCTTTGTTGAACATTAAATTAAAAACATGTTATGAAGCAATGAGACCGATTTCACTCACAAGCACTATGTCTGACCTGCCAATCCAATTTTCTAACAGCAACAAAAAGATGGGCCAGACAAAAATCTAACTAACCAGGTTCTCTAAAGTTGTTTATTGGATGGATGGACAATATTACGATTTAACTAAAAAAAAATGAATTAACGAAATTCCCTCTTTCCCTATATTCTAGCTGATTTCTCTTAAGCATGCTTAACAGGAAAAGAAGATATTTTAAGGAAAAAGATGTTTGATTTAAGCCTGAAGCTAACAGACCCCCATAATGGACAGTATGGTGAAGAGAACAAAGATCTCTGGCTATACAGCAGAAGTCTGAAGTTTCAGCCCTGGTTCTACCCTATGTCATTCAAACCATTTCCAATCTCTGGGTCTCAGCTTTTAGTTTCAAATCCCTTTAAACTTCAAAAGTGTATATGCTGGCTGTGTGTGGTGGTGCATGATTATAATCCCAGTTACTGGGGAGGCTGAGGCAGAAGGATTGCAATTCCAAGGCCAGTCTCACCAACTTAGTGAGACCCTGTCTCAAAATAAAAATAAAAATGGCTGAGGATATAACTCAGTGATAGAGTCCAGTGGGTTCAATCCACAGTACCAGCAGGGTGGGGAGCGATATGTAGAAAGAGAGAGTGAGAGAAAGAGAAAGAGTCTATGTGCTACATGATACTGAAGAGAAAGTTATTCTTGAAATGTCAATCTTCTAAAATATCCATTTTTGTATTAAGAATTATATATAAATGAATTTTTTAAATATTTATTTTTTAGTTATATGTGGGCACAATGTCTTTATTTGACTTTATGTGGTGCTGAGAATCAAACCCAGTGCCTCAAGCATGCTAGGCGAGTGCTCTCCCTCTGAGCTACAACCCCAGCCCCATAAATGAATTTTTTAAGCCAGAATATATACATGCATTTTAAATGTTAATCTGACCTCTGTCGATGGTGGGTTTCTGAATTTTTTTTATTTGTTTCCATTTTTCTACTTTAAAAATAGAGGCACAAATTGGTTTTTTTTTTTTTAATTTTTTTTGAAACAAGGTCTCACAAAGTTGCTTAGGGCTTGCTAAATTACTGAGGCTGGACTCAAAACTTGAAATCCTTCTGCCTCAGACCCCTGAGTCACTGGGATTACAGGCATGTGCCACCATACCCAGCACAAATTCTTTATTTTGAAAAAAAAAAAGCAGTTTTAAAATGTTCAACTTAATCATAAAATCAGCAACTTGGCATTTCCTTTGAGTGTAGCATTAAGTTTATTTCTCGTGAAAGTTTAACAGACTTTATCTTTTAAAAATATTTTTAGTTGTAGATGGATGCAATATCTTTATTATTTGTTTATTTATTTTTATGTGGTGCTGAGGATTGAACCCAGTGCCTCACATGTGAGAGATAGCACTCTGACACTGAGCTACAGCCCCAGGCACAGACTTTATCTTGATATTCACCAGAGCAACACTGTGAGGTGGTAGATGGTGTCTGTTTAATGTATATCAGCATTTTTCAACTGGGGCTATACAAAGAAATTAAGGCTTAACATCTAAGGCATCCACCCCATGTAATTAATTAACTTCTTTCCTGTGCACGTAGAGTAGTCCTAATCATTTCTCCTTGGAGAAATTCAAGGAACTGAATAAATAGTCACTCAGTTTTTTTGTGTGTTCATCAGTTCAACTGATCCATTCCAGTTGCAAAAGACCACACAGCGATCAAACAAATTCGCTGAACTGATCGTTTGATTAGAAGGGTCTTATATTTCAGTTTAAGGCATAGCTTAATGAAATGTTTTGAATTAATTTTGATTCCTGATGTAGGTTCCAGAAATCTACACAGAAGTTTTAAAGACTACTTTTCCCTGGGTCCTATAAATTGAAATTTCCAGTTACTTAAATAGGAAATGCTTTATCAGCCCAATATATTGATAGTGATTAGTCATCTCCTTAATGTACAAGGAACCTTAAGGTACAAGTAAGTATACTCATTTGAGCAGGAAAACTTTTTGAATAGAAAGATAATATTGGGGGAGGGGGGATAGTAGAGGATAGGAAAGGCAGCAGAATACAACAGACACTAGTATGGCAATATGTAAATCAATGGATGTGTAACTGATGTGATTCTGCAATCTGTATATGGGGTAAAAATGGGAGCTCATAACCCACTTGAATCAAATTGTGAAATATGATATATCAAGAACTATGTAATGTTTTGAACAGCCAACAATAAAAAATTTTAAAAAAAAGAAAGATAATATTGAACAAGTTCAGAGATCCAGTTGAAAGTACTTTACCAAGCAGGGTGAGGTGGTACATATCCATAATTCCAGTGGTTCGGGAGGCTGAGGCAGGAGGATTGCAAGTTTGAGGCAAGCCTCAGCAACTTAGCCAGGGCTGGGGATGTGACTCAGCACTCTGGTTTTTATTTTATTTTATTTTTTGGTGCTGGGATTGAACCTAGAGCCTGTGCATGCAAGGCAAGCAGTCTACCAACTGAGCTATATCCCCAGCCCTGCACCCTGGTTTAAATTCCCCAGTACCCAAAAGAAAAAAAATCAACACCAAAAGTATATGAAAAATATTCAACATCATTAGCAATTAGGGAAATACAAATCTAAACTACCCTGAGATTTCATCTCACACCAGTCAGAATGACAGTCATCAAGAATATAGATAATAATAAATGCTGGAGAGGATGTGGAGAAAAAGGAACACTTTTACACTGTTGGTAGGATTATACAACAACCATGGAAATCAATATGAAGGTTCCTCAAAACACTAGGCATGGAACCACCATATGACCCAGCTATACCCCACCTCCATATTCATGCTAAGAATTAAAGTCATCTTACTACAGTGACACATGAATACTAATGTTTATAGCAGCAAAATTTACAACAACCAAACTATGGAGCCAACCTAGGTGTCCATCAATGGATCAATGGATAAAGAAAAAGTGATATATATATATATATATATATATATATATATATACACACACACACACACACACACACACACACACACACAATGGAGTTTTACTCAGCCATAAAAAATGAAATTATGGGCTGGGGATGTGGCTCAAGCAGTAGCGCACTCACCTGGTATGTGTGCGGCCTAGGTTCGATCCTCAGCACCACATACAAACAAAGATGTTGTGTCTGCCGAAAACTAAAAAATATTTAAAATTCTCTCTTCTCTCTCTCTCTCTCTCTCTCTGTCTCTCTCTCTCTTCTCTCTTTAAAAAAATGAAATTATGTCATTTGCAGGAAAATGGATGGAACTAGAGATCATCATGTTAATTGAAATAAGTCAAACTCAGAAGATCAAGGGTCATACATTTTCTGTCATATGTAGAAGCTAGAGAGGAAAAAGGAAAAGAAAGGTGGTGGGGCAGGTATCTCCTGAAAATCAAAGGCAGACCAGAAAAGGAAAGGAAACAAAGGGATGGGAGTCAGCAACAGAAGGGGAAGTGCTGGGGAGTGATATTGGCCAATTATATTGTTATACTGTGTGCATGTATGAATATATAACAATAAATCCCACCATTAGTACAAATATAATGTACCCAAAAAATTGGAAGGCCAAAAAAAATTTTTTTTAATTTTTTTTAAAGAGAGAGAGAGAAAAAAAAAATTTTTAATATTTATTTTTTAGTTTTTTGACGGACACAACATCTTTGTTTGTATGTGGTGCTGAGGATAGAACCCAGGCCGTATGCATGCCAGGCAAGCACGCTACCGCTTGAGCCACATCCCCAGCCCCCCCCCAAAATTTAATATAAATGAAATCATACAGAATATGAACTTTCAGTATTTTATTTTTCACACCTAATTCACTGGAAATACATGTATATTGTTTGCAATGACAAATTTGTTCTTTTCCCATTGCTCATGTGTATTCCATAGTATAAATGTACCATAATATCTTCAATCATTCACCTGTTGAAAGACTTTTGGCTAGTTTCTTAGTTGGGGCCCATTACAATTAAAAATTCTATAAACTCTAAAAAAAAAAAAAATACACTGAGCCGGGTGCAATGGCGCATGCCTGTAATCCCAGTGGCTCCAGAGGCTGAGACAGGAGAATCTTGAGTTCAAAGCCAGCCTCAGCAAAAACGAGGTGATAAGCAATTCAGTGAGACCCTGTCTCTAAATAAAATACAAAATAGGACTGGGGATGTGGCTCAGTGGTCGAGTGTCTCTGAGTTCAATCCACAGTATCCCCCCCCAAAAAAAAAACTACACTGAGATTTCATTTCACACTAGTCAGAATGGCAGCCATAAAGAATACAAACAATAATAAATTCTGGAGAGGATGTGGAAAAAAGGAACACTTTTACACTGTTGATGGGATTGTAAATTACTATAACAACTATGGGAATCAGTATGGAAGCTCTCAAAAATCTAAAACTATGCACCAATAAAAATATGGAAAGAGTAAAAAGAAACTGATGCTTAGATACTTGAAGTAACTTGTTGAAGGTTTCATAATCGAATAATTGATGGGACTTTGGAAGTTTGTGTCTTTCTAAGCTGTCATGTTTATAGACATAGATTTGTGTATAAATTTTCCTTGTTATCCTTTTAATATCTGTAGAAATTATAGCAACATAATATTTCCCATTCCTATTATTTGTCATTTGTGCATTCTTTTCCCCCTCAAAAGTCTGGCTACAAATTTATCAATTTCATTGATCTTTCAAAAAATGGCATTTTATTTTATTGACTTTTCCTGTTGTTTTGGATGTTATTATTGCAGTCTCCAATTTCATTTATATCTGCTCTGATCTTTATTATTTCCTTTACTTATGTTGAGTTTAATTTTCTCCCCTTTTTTCTAGTTTTTTTCTTATGATAAATGATGAGGTTATTGAGTAGAAATATTATACCTTTTTTTTTTCAGTTCTGGGGATCATACCCAGGGCCTCAAGCATGCTTGGCAAGTACTCTTCCACTGAGCCACATCCCACCCCAACCTCTTGCCTTTCTAACATACGTATTTACTGTTATAAGTTTTCCCCAAGCACTATTTCAGTAGCATCGTAAAAATTCTGATATATTATGCTTTTCATTTTCATTTATTTCAAAATGCTTTCCAATTTCTTTTTTATATCTTTTTTGACCCAGAAGTTATTTAGAAATTTCTTCTTTCCAAATATGTGGGTGATTTTCATGAGAATGTCTTGTTATTGATTTCTAATTTAATTCTATTTTTGTCAGAGAGCATGCTCCATATGGTTTGAATCATTTTAAATTTGTTGAGATTTATTTTTTTGGCACAATGTGTGAACTATATAGGTAAATGTTCCATGGACATGTGAAAACAATGTGTAGTCTACTGTTGTTGGGCAGTCTTCTATAAATGCCAATAGGTCAAATTGGTTGAGAGTGTTAACTTTCCTATATTCTTTCCCATATTCTTCCTGCTCACTCTAGTAATATCTGATAGAGCAGTATTGAAATTTCTGACAATTGTTGTTTCTCTTTAACATCCTTCAGTTTTGCCTCTTTCATTTTGGATCTCTGTTCTTAGGTGCATAAACACTTAGGATTGTTATTTCCACTGAATTAATTGACCCTTTTATCATTATGAAACAACTTATTTTATTGATGGCTGCATTTTTGCTTTGAAATGTACTTTGATATTAATATATCAACTCCAGCTTTTATGTGACTGGTGTTATCACAGTATAGCCATGCATCATGAATGACAAGGATATGTTGAGAAGTGTGCTGTTAGGCTATTTCATCACTTCACAAACAGCAAAGAGCATGCTTAAACAACTACAACAGTCAAGCCACTAACTGATATAATCTTATTAGGAATACCATTCTATCTACGATTTTTGTTGACCAAAATATCATTATACAACTCATGACTGTGTATCTTTTTTACCCTTTTACCTTTTTTCTGCTTTAATAAGGTATAATTGAGAAATAAAAATTATATATACCTAAAAGGTACAATGCAATGTTTTAATATATTGTATACACTGTGAAATAATTACTACAATCAAGCTAATTGACATTTGCTCATGTCACGTGTCATATAGTTACCTTTTAGTGTGTGTGATAAGAATACCTAAGATCTATTCTCAGCAAATTTTGAGTACCCCATATAATACATCATTATTAACTAAAGTAACCATGTTTCGCATAGGTTTCCAGAACTTATTTATCTCAGAATTACAAGCTTGTACCTTTATTTTATTTATTTATTTATTTATTTAGGTACTGGACTGAACCCAGGGGCACTTGACCACTGAGCTATCTCCCTAGTCCTTTTTATTTTTTTATTTTTTTTATTTTGAGACATGGTCTTGCTAAGTTGCTGAGTCTAGCCTCAAACTTGCAATCCTCCTATCTCATCCTCCCTACTCATTGGAATTACAGGTATGTGCCACTGCAACTGGCCTTTGAGTACATTATTATTAAAAATGGAAAATATCCACTTAACATTCACCCCTCATTGTTAAAGAGCTTCCTGCATTTTCCATGTATTAATAGTCTTCATGTTATGTTGCTTTCATTTTCATTTTGATGCCCAATCCACTACCCTTTTTGTATCTTCCATATTGAGCCCAGAAAAAGTATGGTGTTATATGGTAAATCAGGCTCAGCCTAAGAACTTGAAGTTCTGAGTTATATCTCAGCTTTGTCTATTTTTAACCTGTATGACCTTGAGCAAGTTATTTATGATTTCTGAAATTCAGTTTCCTTATCTATAAAATTCCACTAATAATTTTCCTTCTTTTCCAGGGATACAGCCCAGAGTAAAACAGATCACAAGCATTCCGTGGAGGCTTTCTGAACTACAGAGTATGATGTAAGAGTAAGATATTACCCGAAGGTCTTGGTGACAATACCTGGTCCATGGTGCTCTTACTTTGTTTGTACCTTTTGACCAACCTTTGTTCAACCTTTACTTTTGACCTATGTGTGTCTTTACATTTAAACAGGTTTCTTCTCCAATCAGAGCAATCAGACAAAAGAAAGAAATTACAGGGATACAAATAGGAAAAGAAGAAGTCAAATTATCTATTTGCTGATGACATGATCTTATATTTAGAAGACCCCCCTCAAAAAAAAAAAACTCCACCAGAAGACTTCTAGAGATGATAAACAATTTTAGTAAGGTAGTAGAATACAAGATCAACATACACTAATCAAGCACTTTCCTACAGTCCAATAATGAATCTGCTGAAAAAGAAATTATGAAAACTACCCCATTCATAATTACCTCAATAAAATAAAATAAAATACCTGGGAATAAAACTAACCAAGGAAGTGAAAGACCTATACAATGAAAACTATAGACCACTGAAGAAAGAAATTGAAGAAAACCTCAGAAAATGGAAAGACCTCCCATGTTCTTGGATAGGCAGAATTAATATTGTCAAAACAGCCATACTACCAAAAATTCTATATATATTCAATAAAATTCCCATCAAAATATCAATGATATTTTTCACAGAACTAGAAAAAAAACAGTCCTTAAATTCATTTTGAAGAATAAAGGATCCAGGGATTGAGGCTGTAGCTCAGTGGTAAAGTGCTTGCCTTATATGTATGAGGCACTGGGTTCGATCCTCAGCACCAAATAAAAATAAATAAAAGATCCAGAGTAGCTAAAACCATGCTGAGCAAGAAGAGCAATGCTGGAAGCATAACAATACTTGACTTCAAGTTATACTCCTGAGCTATAGCATATACAGTATTGGCACCAAAACAGACATGGAGACCAATGGAATAAAATAGAAAACACATAGACAAGCCCACATAGATACAGCCATCTGATTCTTAACAAAGGTGCCAAAATCATACACTGGAGGAAAGACACTCTTTTTAACAAATGGTGCTGAGAAAACTGTACATCCATACATAGATGAAGGAAGCAAGATCCTTCTCTCTCACCCTGTGCAGAAGTCAACTCAAAATGTATCAAATATCTAGGAATTAGACTAGAAGCAATGCAACTACTTGAAAAAAAAAACATAGGTTTAATACTCTAACATATTGGCACAAGTATCAACTTCCTTAACAAGACTTAACAAGTGTAAGTAATAAAACCTAAAATCAATAAGTGGGATAGTATCAAATTAAAAAGCTTCTGCACAGCAAAGGAAACAAGAGTGTGAAGAGAGAGCCTAAAGATTGGGAGAAGACCTTTGTTATTCAGATAGGTTATTAATATCTAGAATATAAAAACAACTAAAAAAATTAATGCCCCCAAAACCAAATAACTCAACTAATAAATGGGCCAAAGAACTAAACAGACACTTCTCAAAAGAAGAAATACCAACGACCAATAAATATATGAAAAAAATGTTCAACATATCTAGCAATCAGAGAAATACTAATCAAAACCACACTGACATTTCATCTCAGTCAAGTCAGAATGGCAATTATCAAAACTACATAGAATAATAAATGTTGGCCAGATATGGGGGGAAAGGTATATTTTGTATATTGTTGGTAGGACTGAAAATAATTGCAACCACTCTGGAAAGTAGTATGAAGTGTTCTCAAAAAAATAAGAATGGACCCACCATATGACCCAGCTATCACATTCCTTGATATATATCCAAGAGATCTAAAATAAGCAAATTAGCTTAGTGCAGTGGTACACATCTGTAATCCTTAATAATAAAATAATACATTCAGAAGGCAAGTTCAAGGCCAGCCTCAGAAACTTAGTGAGGCCCTAAGCAATTTAGAGAAACCCTGTCTCACAATAAAAAAAGGGCTGGGTATGTGACTCAGTGGTAAAGCACACATGGGTTTAATACCCAGTACCAAAACCAAAAAATTATAAATAAATAAATATATAAACAAACAAAACAAGCATACAATAGGGATGCAGCCACATCAATGTTTATAGCAGCACAATTCACAATAGCCAAGATTTGAACCAATATAGGTGCCTATCAACAGATGAATGGATAAAGAAAATGCAGTATATATACACAGTGGAGTATTACTTGACCATGAAGAAGAAATAAATTATGATATTTGCCAATAAATGGATAGTGCTAGAGACCATTATGCTAAGCGAAATAAGCCAGACCCAGAAATTCCTAGGTCAAATGTTTCCTCTAATATATGGAAAGTAGACCAAAATGGGGGCAGAGAGTAAAAAGCAGAGGACTCAATGAAAATAGAAGAGAGATCAGTGGAGTAGAGGAAAGGGATTGAGGGACAGAGAGGGGAAACAAAAAGGCAAAAATGGTGTAATGAATCTGACTAAATTTTCCTATGAACATATATGAATATACCACAGGGAATCTTTATGTATATCTTCAAGGCATTAATTTTTGAAAAACTATAAATAAATAGAAGAAAGATTGGTAAAGTAGAAGGAAGAGAACAGGAAAAAGGAAGAGGGAAGAGAAAGGATAAGTATTAGGAGCTGAGTTTGAGCAAATTATAACCCATGCTTGTACAATTATGTCAAAATGAACCCTAATATTATGTATAACTAAAATGAACTAATTTAAAAAAAAAAAAGATTTCTTGTAGACAGAATATAGCTGGGTCTTAACCTTTTAATCCAGCATCTCAATCTCTGCCTTCAATTGGAGTATTTAAACCATATGCATTTAAACCATACACCTTTAATGTGATTGCTGATATAATTAGGTTTAATTGTATTAGTTCATTACTAGTTTTCCTCCATTTGTTCTCTTTCACACTTCTCTTCTGCCTTAATTTGGATTATTGATTTTTTATGTTATTTTAGCTCCTTTGTTAACTTATTAGCTATACCTCTGTTTTTTTAATTTGTTTTTTAGTTGTAGATGGACATAATATTTTATTTGTTTATATGTGGTGCTTAGAATCAAACTCAGTCCCTCACACATGCAAGGCAAGCACTCTACCAGTGGGCTACAGCCCCAGCCCAGCTATATCTCTGGGATTTTTTGTTTGTTTGTTTAATTTTTAAATTTGTTTTAATTACTTATACATGACAATAGAATGCATTTATACACTTTGATATAGATGGGATATAATTTCTCATTTTTCTGAGTGTAAATGTTGCAGAATCATCTTGGTTACACCTCTGTTTTGTGTAGCAATTGGTTTAAAGTTTGTTGGACACATCTTCATCTCATTGTTCCATCTGCATCTCCAATTGTTAATGTGTCATTTCACATACAGAGTAAACCCCACAGGAATAAACCTTCATTTCTCGTCTCCTTCCTTGGTGTTCTTGTTGCCATAGATCATACTTTTCCTGTATTAGAAAACCCACAGCAAGTCTGCCTGTCTTTGCCTGGGTTCCCCATTTGTGCATAGTGGTTTGGAAAATCTCAGAATAGTAAGAAGAGACACTGTAGTATTCATCTTGTTTATTTTCCATCTCCCAGGGTCACTGTCCTTTATTTCCTGATGTCTTGCATGTTGAGACTGTTTAAAATAGTTTGTATGTTTTTTCCCATTGCTTCATGTGAGGGAGAAAAACAGCCCATATTGCTCTATCTCATTTGGAAGCTGAACTCCCGAGGAGGTTTTTGTTTTGTTTTGTTTTGTTTTTGGTATTGGGCATTGAACCCAGGGCCTCATGTATGGTAAGCACATACTATCACTGAACCACATCTCCCACCCTAGAAGAGTTTTTTTTTTTTTTTTTTTTTTTTTTTTGAGCCCAGTTGGGGATCCTGCTTTGTCTGAGAGCAAAGTTGCAAATCAGGGAGTTTCTTGAGGAGTGACAAGTGTCTGAAAAAAATTGTCTTAGCTAATGATGGACAAGTGAGCCCAGGTTGTATGAAATAACTTCAGGACAATGGCTTGGAGGTGAACATGAAGCAGGCCCCCAAATGAGATGCAGTATCTGAGGGACACTGGCAAAGATAAAGGCTAAGGATAGTGGGAGAAAAACAGAGGGATAACAGGAACCCAAGTGAGGGGTGACTCCTCAGACTACTGGTTGGTGGTAAGCAGCATTTTGCAGATATAAACTGGCATACTGAGGAAAGGTAGTTTGATTAATGTGCAGTCTTCAGGAAGCTGGTATGGCTGATTCCTGATTATCTGATAGAAATAAAACACATTTATGCCAGTAGCTTTGAAGTATTGAAGATGTTTATGATCATTTTGTCCCTATAACAAGCCTAGGAGGAGACAAATACTATTTACCCAATTTAAGACATTAACAGTTCAAAGTTTCAAATAATAATAATAATAATGGCTGAGCACAGTGCACATGCCTGTAATCCCAATGACTTCAGAGTCTGAGGCAGGAATATAACAAACCTGAGGCAATTTGAGGCCTGCCTTTGCTACTTAAAGTAAAAATTAAAGTACTGGGAGTGTGGATCACTGGTAGAGGGCTTTGGGTTCAATCCCTAGTACAAAAATGCTTTAATGACTTACCAAGTTAACAAATAAAAGAGCAGAGAATTGACCTGAGGGCCATTTGACGATGAAGTCAAGGCCTTAATGACCATCTGTGGCACTGCCAAAGGGAAAGCAGATTGAGACAGACTTTATAACTGTGGATCTTGAATGTGTACAGAGCAGCTTGAGATCATTTTGTATATGGGAGTTGATGAACAATGAAAGCCAGGGGTCAAAAGAGGTGTTTGTTTGCCCATGTGCAAAACAAACATCATTCAAAACTTGATGGCTTCAAACAGCAACTATTGTATTTATCTCACACTGGTTCCTGTGTGAACTTGGCTGAGTTGGGCAGTTCCTGAGGTGGTCAAAGTTAGATACCAAGAAAGCAAGTGAGCTGGAGTCATCTGGAGGCTTGCTTGAGATATTGAGAAGGTTAGGCCTTTCTCCTCCTTGCAGGTTAAGACCTCTCTACTCCAGGTGGCCTTT